GTTTTGGTACATACCACATAAAATATTTGTAAATAAACATCCCTGCTCTCATCAATTTAGTAATTGTGTCATTGGTATTTTTCGACCCAAAGAAAGCTTCAAAAGGGCTCCCACATATTGTGAACAATCGTATTGGACAGACATCAAGAAATGTGTGCAGAGTTGCATGAACCTAATTGCACATTGCACAAGAGTTGTTACAAGAGTGAGGTTGACTTGATTGCATTAACAAACAAGTCATGCACAGCACAGTCCATGTGAATTACCAACTTGTATGCTGTGTATCAGCACTTAGATATGCATATGTATAGAAATTAATTGCTGCAGGCTGGCATATCCAAATTATATATACATTTGTAAAACAAGCAGTCTATCGGTTGATACAGCTCTGCTGTATTGTGAAATGTACCAGCTTAACACATTTGAAATATAGCTGCAAGCAGCGATCAACTAGTTTCGAACCTATGGCAGCATTGGTACAGGGCTGTAATACACCAAATTTAGTTCAAGGGGTCTTGAAAAAAACTATATCACACCACCCTCTTCTCCCCCTCCAAATATAAGTCCCTTTAAAAACTTTAAAACATTCGATTGGGACCCTTACTCATCACACCAATTTTGGTTCAAATCGGTCACATGGCCTTGGAGTTAAATGAATTCATACCCCCCCCCCCCAAAAAAAAAACTGCTATTAGGACACCCGCAGGGGTACTCTTTGTCATCACACCAAATTTGATCCAAATCGGTCAAGGGGTTTTGGAGTAAAATGCAAATATATAAAAATCACACCCCCCCTCCCCTCAAAATTTACCCTCTCAGAAAAGTAACACCATTATAACATTCACTAGGAGACTCTTTGTCACAACACCAAAATTGGTCAAGGAGTCTTGGAGTAAAACGCAATATATAAAAATCACACCCCCCTCCCCTCAAAATTGACCCTCTCAGAAAAGTAACACCATTATAACATTCACTAGGAGACTCTTTGTCACAACACCAAAATTGGTCAAGGAGTCTTGGAGTAAAACGCAAATATATAAAAATCACACCCCCCCTCCCCTCAAAATTGACCCTCTCAGAAAAGTAACACCATTATAACATTCACTAGGAGACTCTTTGTCACAACACCAAAATTGGTCAAGGAGTCTTGGAGTAAAAGGCAAATATATAAAAACCACCCTCCGCCCCCTCAAAAATGCCCCTCTCAGAAAAGTAACATCATTATAACATTCACTGAGGGACTCTTTGTCATCACACCAAATTGGTCCCAAATCGGTCAAGGTGTCTAGAAGTAAGATGCAAATATATAATGTCTTATCCTTAAATTTGGTACAAATACGTTCAGTTGCTCATGAGACAATTCAAACTAAGTAACAAAAACCATATGAGAATTAGCTGGTTAATTCCCAAAACTGATAAACTGATAAGCTCCGAGGATTTTAATGGAAATACCATGAACAGTTTTTTTTAAATAAAGGATATCCTGGTAGATCAAAGCAAAAACATATCTCCTCTCACAGGATAGTGACATAAGTTTTTCCTTCTGATTATCTAAGCAATAGACCCCTTTCATAAATCTAGCATAGTTCCTCTCTAAATACACAGGAAACCTCATCCTTGAACTCTACAAAATATAAAAATACTAATTATTTCACAATCAAGGGAGTTTATTAGCTTTCAAAAGGACCGTCTGCACTGTACACTCTATGGTAAAAACACACTGCTAAGCATTCATTACCTACTGGCCTCACTCTGAGTTAAGGTCAACGGTTAATGAGTGAGGGCGCTTGATTTATGAAAGGGGTCTATGTGCCATGAATTTATTGCTGTGAATCCTGTGCATCCAGGATATCAAATGGTCTAGCCCTAATCTAAATTGCAGTTGAGAGCAAGCATACAAATTGATATATATATATATATATATAGGACTTCAAGACACACAGATTCAAAACTTAGGTGAAATATATTGTCAAAGTAAGGTGTATCACTGAAAACTGAGGGGGATTATGAACACTAAGGCACAGCGCTTAATTGATGTGTGTGATAAAATGTATCATACAAACACACATCTTTTTTCATGAACTAGAAATCATTGTCAAAGAGTATTGGACATCCAGTTGAAAACAGTATTGTTTTATCAATGTGTTGCATGCCATTGTTTGAGCTCCCGATCAGTATATACATTGACAATATATAGAGTATCACTACATGCTAACAATAAGTGAGTTGCCATATTAAGGATAAATTAGTCTTTGGTCACTTTATTGAATATACGTAACAGTACTCCATCAACACATCCAACAAAGTGATCAACTTTCAGAATTTATGCTTATTTTTACAGCATGAAACCCTGCTCTAACAAAATGTCTCACTATTGTTTTGAATATGCATGTCTTGAAGCACCCATATATACATATATATTAATTTGTATGCTTTCAACTGGAAGCAAACACATGAGCAAATAACATTTCCCCTCAGTTTCCAGTGAAAATTTGAGGTACATAACTATAAAGATTCTCCTCTTTCTACACTTGCAAAATAAGAGAAATTATATTATCAACATATTGATCCTCCAAATAAAAGTCAGAAATCAAAAACTTGCGATTGGAGTATCTTGCATATTTTGAAGATATCTTCTCCGCTAAAGATGGTGTCAATCCTGTGACAACTGAAGGAGAAGGTGCATTACAGATGTTATTTTCAGCTTCAAAATACTGTAATAACACATCACATATTACCTGTGCGTTGTGATCATCAAAATCACTTTCATCAGCATCTGACTGTACATCAGATTCTGCTCCTGATGGCTGCTAACAGCCATCAGTTTCAGCTGGCTGCTAACAGCCCGCAACAATAGGATCTGATGTACAGCCTGATGATAATGAAACTGAAGAATCACAGATGGTACAGTCACACAATAGCTTGCAATTGTCACAGCACTGATGTTTAATGATATAGTCCTTGGGAAATTCCTGACCAAAATGTGAGGCTAGTGACACTCTACGACATTCATCTGTTGTACAGTATTTTCTCATTTCCTCAGTCATGCCTTTCACATTGTGTGCTATGTCAGATGCGTTGTAGTACAAAATAGCCTCAGATTCTTCCCCATCTCTCCCACATCTGCCAACTTCCTGAATGTATGCTAATGAACAAATGAGAATTGTATTTAACATTTAAGTAGCTTCACTACAAGTTACAAAAATAGTGCAATATGGTACTGGACTGTATTTGCTGTATTACTAGAGCATATGCATAGGTAAATGACATGGTAATATATCTCATATTGAGCAAATGCGTATTTTCATGAGTTCTCTTGGGTGACTGACATCAATTGTTATATCCATTCTATGATGTAACCTGTGGCATTTCATCATAAAATAACTTTCCTAGCCATCATCGTCATCCAATAACTACACTCATGACAGGATTACAGGATTATTGGGACTTCAGATTCTCTTGAACCAACCAATTGCTTGTGGTCATTAAATAATCAAAACAAATAAAACATTCAAAATGTTGGCAACACTTACAAGCAGTATAATAATAAGATCATGCACACAATAAAGGAACTTGGTTTTACACATTGTATGTCAAATATGTACAATGCGCTCTGAAAATTCATGAATTTTGTGCGTAACATTGCATTACCGTACTACATTTAGACTGAACTACATGCATTTTAACATACTTTCCATTGTTCTTGGTACACCAGCATGGATAATTCGCCTGACTTGTTTTGGATCTGCACCCATCCCATATGCCTCAGTTGCAAATAACAATCTGATACCACAATTCATGGTCTGCATGCCATCGATCACCTCTTTCTTCATCTGCTTAATGATAAAAGTATGATATATAAATTGTCAATATGCAAGTTGATATGAAATAGCCAAATGGCTCAAGTTAATTGTTGTGGCAAAGGTAATGTAACAGAATATCATATGCTAGTTAAATGACAGAGGTGCATTTATAGTAAAAAAAATGCACAAATTATTAATATACAGAACAGTATACAACAAATTTTGATGGCTTATCTGTTCTTGTGTTGGAGATAAACATCTAATATAGCAAATACAGTTAAAGGGGCACAGTCGCTATATCTTTTATACAAATTTGGCTTAAGTGTAAAGTGAACTGCATTCACCAATTTGATAAAGAACACACACTTATCACGTGTCTGATCTTTCAGTGTGTCATTTGATGAGGCAACAGCCACATTGTTTACCTAAATGTTATAGACAAAGCTGCTTATAAACCCGGAACAAATAATTTATATATATAACAATTAACAAATAAATATTTGATGAAATGTTCACTTTATTTTTTTATTGGTAAAACCATCAGAGGACCAATTTGTTATTTACTATACAACAACAACAATAACATACCATACCATACAGAATATGGAAAACAATCGTTAAACAGTAGAAGTCATATCCAAGTTAGTATTTATAGTTAACAAAATAACTTAAATTTACCTTGTTAGTGCATGAGGCATGGAATTGAGCCACCAGACCAGATATATCATCTATATCACTGTCAAAAGTTGGCATTAAGGACAATTCGTGAGCAAATCCACACCATTTAAGTGATGAGTAAACAATTGTTCGTGGAAAACATTCCTGTTTACTGCGCAATTCATCAATAAGTGGTTTGAAGATCTCCTTAAAAGACTCTTCAATTCTGTTGTTTGGAAGTCTTTTTGTCACATGGAACATTATGTTTGGTCTATCTATGCTGGCAGCGATAATAACAGGATTGGTAAGCAGAAGATGTGATGATATTTCTTGCTGTGTTCTTTTCGTACCGGTGGCTGTAAGGGCTAACACATGTGCTTTTGTGAATAATGCCCGTAGGTCTTTCAGATTTCGATATTCCGGACGGAAATCACTTCCCCATTGTACTACACAGTGTGCTTCGTCAACAACAATATGAGATACCTTGTGTTGCCAAATGTCGCCACGAAATACGGCGAAGAGTTTCTTGGTCATTATGTGTTCTGGGTGAGACAGTATATACAAATACTCACAACTAATGAAACTGGACAAACTACAGTCAAACTCCGGATTTAACCGCACTGACCTTGCGCCGAGTCTACGAGACTGTTCTTCTATAATAGCATTCAATGGCGAGATCAAGATCACTGTCCTGGGACTGTGTGAAGCTGACATGTAGGGAAGGCACTCAAAAATCAGTGATTTTCCATAACCGGTAGGCAACAAGCCTATACAATCACTATCAGTGGATGCCTTCAAACAATCAACTTGCTTTGGTCTTAAATATGTGTAACATGAATGACTGTTTGCGTTTACATGTGCTAAAGCAATCTTTGTTTTCATAACAAACTCCATGTCCATGGAAGCCGCCATGTTGAATTGTCTCAGTGACGAATCAGATGTTCCGTACGTAACTACCAATAACCGCCTTGGATGTAATACCCCGTACCTGACCCTTTTCTAAAACCGCCCTCAGCGTTGAAATGGGGCAGGGAACCAGACTAAGAAACGGAAGCGTGTAGAAACACGGAAACGGCGTGAGGCTGGTTTTGATGAATCGTGGAAAAAGACATTTCCCTGGTTAAGGTCAATTGTTCAGGTAAGATTTCGTAATTTTAGAAATAAAATGCCAGTGTGTGTATGTTTTGCCGTTCGTAAGAACACCGAACATGGTAGGCCTACACCGATTTCAATCAACATCTTATTCTTAGACACGAGGCTGGTATAGACACGATATGAAAAAAAAAACATCACTCGTTACTGTCAACTTTTTTTAGATTATTTATGGATATCTTCATAGATTAATGGGTACGCGTATGTTATAATTTGTCCAAGCAAAAAAAAAATCGAATTTTGTAATCTTCCGGTCACATGTTGACCTTTATAGGTATTTCAAAGATGGCGGCCTGTCAACGTCTTGCGAACGACAGCTGCTATCATCACGCGCTATGATCGATGGAATCCCGATTTGTATACATAATTCTATCGTTACGTTTTAATTT